AGGAAGCCTGAAATCATTCTGAAGCCAGGCTGTCTGCTTCTGACTGACAAGACAGAATGTCAGCTCTCTTAGTGCAACATCAGTGACTTCCATTGTGCAACAGGGGATGGCTAACAGTGAGATATTGCAGCTAACTTCGACTCCACTTCCACTTGCAGCCTGGAAAGAGGACATATTAAAGTTCATGGTCACTATCACTTTCCCAGGCACTGGCAAACAGCCTACATTCTGCTCCAGGCAGTAACACAGTGCTGTACCCAGAGGCAGGCTGGGGGGTGGAGCAGGGTGTAACAGGGTGGGAAGATGTAAGGTGTGTCCCAATCTCCAGAGGAGGCAACAGTCTAGTGGTAATATCACCGGATTATTAATCCAGGGACCGAGCTAATGTTCTAGGGATCTGAGTTTAAATCTTGCCATAGCAGATGGTGGGATTTCAATTCAGTAAATCTCTGGAATGCTCATGGTGATCATTAAGATCATTTTCAATTGTTGGGGAAAAAGCCATCTGGTTCACTAATGCTCTTTAGGGACAGAAACTGCCATCCTTTCCTGGTCTGGGCTATATGTAACTCCAGACCCACAACAACATGGTTAACTTTTAACTGCCTTCTAGCCAATTAGGGATAGGCAATAAATGCTGGCCTATCCAGCAACACCCAAAACAAATGATTTTATTCATATGAGTAAATGACTCACAGCCTGCCTCCCACCCCCAGCAGCACAGTTAGGGCTCACTGCTTCCGGGCTCACAGCCCGAACTGGAGAGATACCAACCAGTCAGTGGTTCTTGAGGCTTAGCAATCTGCCTCCACAAGGAATTGGCAACGAATTGCACCCAGTGGTTGCTGGGAACTGCCACGTTCCTGGAAATGACCACATGAGTTTGAAACCAGTTGTTCAACTAGTAGACAACCCAACATTGTGGCCATTAAATTCTTCCCCAGGTATCAGTCGTAGAAGTGGCACGGTTCAGTGAAGCTTTCCTTAATGAAGCACAGCCTTCTGATACATGCTAATGTTCTGGCCGAATAATTATTCCTTGAATGCCCTGTGGGGTGTTTATGTCCTCCTGGCCTCTGCCATCTCCCTCTTCCAGCAGCTTGTCTGTGTATCTTCTGCTTATTCTGTCAACCACATTATATTGCAAGGAATGCCTACCAGTACATCCATGAGCAGCTGGTTTGTATAGAAACCTTCAAGTCAGGACCAAGTCCATTAGCATCTGCCACAGCACCCCCTTTATGTTTTAGCAACGTTTAAAGAACGCTAAAAAGCACCAGAAACTTGGACAATATGATCTGCCATGGTGTGATTTGAACCAGGGTCCCCAGAACATTCCCTGCTCTCTGGATTAACAGTCTAGCAATAATACCACTAGGCCATCATCTCCCCCTTCATTAGAGAGAGGTGTCTGGTGGTGGTTTAACCTGATGGTCACCACACCTCAGACAAGGGGAGTGGTTGAGCAGGAAGTCCTTCATAATAATGTCAGTTGGTGTGGGAATTGAACCCATGCTGTTCGCATTTCTCTGCATCACTATCAACCATTCAGCCAACTGAGCTGATCCCCTTTATGCACAGAACTGTCCGGGTAACCACCACGATTTGCTTAACCTCTGGGCACTTTCCCAGCTATAAATAACAATGATAAATTGACCAAACACTAAATTACCAACAGATCCTTCTTATGGGTAGGTGTTACAATTGACTGCACAGTAAGGAATCAAAGTCTACAGGTGGAATTTTAGTGCAGTTGCAGTTTAGAGCATGCAATTTGAGTGCTAACCTTCAAAGTTAATTGAATGATGAGTGAAACTGGAGAAGCATTTAATAAAGTGGAATCACAAAATAATTCCGTTAGTCCCACACTACTACACTTTCCCCATTGCTAGGTAATTTTTCTCCTTCAAGTGTTCATCCATTTCCCCTTAAATACTTTTTAATGTTTTTGCACCACCCTTTCAACTTATTGTATTTTTTCCTGTCATGCAGTCTATGAATTCTCCCAATGATCTTAAATCGGTCCTTAGGTTACTAACCCATCAGATACTGGAAACAGTTTCTCCTTACTAACTCTGTCAAAATCATTTATAATTTTGACCAACTCTATTAAATCTCCTCAACTTGTTCCACTTTGAAGAAAGCAATGCCAGATTCTCTTGACTCAGCATAAAACAACACTGTGCAGAAAGTATTGAGTGTGAAGATGATGGATGGAGTGCCAGTCGAGCAGGCTGCTTTGTCCTGGATAGTACTGAACTTCTCCTGAGTGTTGTTGGCGCTGTATGTATTTAGGCAACTGGAAACAATTCCAACACGCTCCTGGTTTGTGCCACGTAGATGGCAGAGAAGGCTGTACGTGTCAGGAGATGAGTTACTTGCTGCAGGATTCCTAGCCCTGGATCTGCTCTTACCATCACAGTATTTGTATGTCATGCCCGCTTCAGCTCTGATCAACCGTAACCTTAATAATGTTGATATTAGGGGACTCATCAATGATAATGCTGTGTAATGTTAAGAGAGGGACTTGTTTCACCAGGCCGTGGGAGGTTGAAAGGTGACCTTCTAGAAGTTTATAAAATCATGAAGGGTATAGATAGAGTTAATGGTGGTTCCCAAGGATGGGAGATTTTAAGATTAGGGGTTACATTTTTAAGGTGAGAGGACAGAGATTTTATAAAAGACATCAGGGGCAAATTTTTTAACACAGCATGGTTCGAGTGTGGAATGAACCTTTGGAGGAAGTGGTGCATGTAGGTACAATTACAACATTTACAAGACATTTGGATAAGTACGTGAATAGGAAAGGTTTGGAGGGATATCAGCCAGGAGCAGGCAGGGGGAGTGTGTGTGTGTGTGTGTGGAGCAGGGGGAGTGTGTATGTGTGTGTGTGTGTGTGTGTGGAGCAGGGGGAGTGTGTGTGTGTGTGTGGAGCAGGGGGAGTGTGTGTGTGTCTCGAGCAGGGGGAGTGTGTGTGTGTGTCTGTGTGTGTGTGTGTAGTTTAGTTTGCGATTATGATCGATATGGACTGGTTGGACCAAAAGGTCTGTTTCCATGCTGTATGATGATATGAGATGATTAGATTCTCTCATTACAGATGATCATTGCCTGGGTCTTGTCTGGCTTAAATGATATTTGCTGATGGTCAGTACTTAGTTATAGCAATACCCAAGCTGAGGCTTAATCAGTGTTGTTAAAAAGGTTTTACAGAATTTCCTTGTCTTTGTTCTCTCTGCATCTTTAATAGGGATCTCATGCTTTTTAATAGATCATCAATTTGTCATGCTATCAAAGATTTGTGTTGATTCCCTTCAGGATTTTCTGTTCCTGAACACTTTTAGATTGCACTGTATATACTGTACATGATATCTTTTTTATCTTCTAGATTATACTGTTTCAGTCCCACTGCCTTTCTTCATTGTTACGATGTATTCCCGGTATCACCTGGTATCATCTGGAATTCCTATATTTTGTGAAATTCTCACTTGGGATGTCTCCTTAGATAGCAAGTAATAAAAGGAAAGATTCATTACAAAAACAGCACACAGTCAAAATATATGCTGCAGTTCTAGAGAACATTCATTGCAGTTTACTCTCCTCTCCTACATCATTGTCATTTTATTCTCCACTGGGATCCCTTCAAAGTGCACACTAAAGAAGAGCCAGTCACGTGAATGAAGTACAGGCTGATTGACAAATGATGCATGAAGCTAGTAGCTTTACCCAATACCTATGCATAGGAACTGAGCTCCAGAATGTGAACCAACAAATGATGGAGATGATCAGGGAGAATAGAATGATCAAAGAAAGTGTACAAATAACTGAAAGCAAGAGCAAATGATGAGGAAAAAAGTAGCAGCGGAAAGAAGTCATAAAGAAATTAATCTCAAAATCACCAGCAGCAAGGGAAGAGGTTATTCAAACAAACATAGAGAAAAAAGAATATATTTGATAATGCCTTGATGTGTATCTTTGTATCTTTTCTCTGCCACCTTATATGGAATGCTTAAATATCAGATTAAAGTGTAAATTTTGTTGTTTACTTACTTGTTCTTTAGTTCCTCTTGCTTTTTGGAACTGAACTTTTCTGTCAACTTATGACTCAGAATACTTCATGTTTTTGTTGTTTAGTAGACTATCAGCAAGTGTACTATCTATTTTAAAAATAATGATCTCCTCAGATTTTAATCCTTCGTTGTTCACAAATTCAATAAATATATATTTAAATTGTGCCTCTGTGTGTTTGTCTGTGTGTGTAAGAGACTGATTCTGATATCATATTGATAGAGTTTAAATTTGATATAATTGCAAATAGACATGGAACATTTTTCAAGCATATTAGTCATATTCCATTTCTTGATATTTCATAATTTTACTGTCAAAGATACTTACTGGTCTCTTTAGTTCTATTTTCCATTTAATACTCCATCTCCTCTTTTACGTACTTAACATTAATCTCTGGGCTTCTCAAAATTCCATTTGTGTCACGATGCCTGGTGTTTTCACCAGGATGTGACTATCTTATGAAGATTAGTAAATTGCTCTCCTGGAAGACGGTTCCAAGCCATGGACTTTAGTATCAACTAAAGCATTTGGTTAATTTTAAAGTTTTTTTTGATAGCTATGGGATATGACCACCTTACTGACTGTATTGCCAGAATTGCCACAATCAAGACTTGATTCCCTGCAACCAATGTTTAGAAATGCTATTGCCCACATCAGAATAGCAACATGATTAGATATTCCTGGACTATCGATCTGCTTGTGTATTGAACTGAATCACTGGGCTAGGACAGGTTTTGTGAGATTTAATAAGATGCACAATTTGACTAGGAGCTCAGATTCAGTGTACCAGCTCACTAATAACTCATGAATCAGGAAGGATATAGACATTTCCGAAGCAAATCAAAGTACTGGTTTTTTTAATATTCTTTCACAAATGTGACAAGCTTTCCATTTTTTTTTTTAACCTGCTTACGAAAATTCACGTCTTGTTTCAGGTGCAATGGAGCAATCCAATGTGGGCTCTTAGGAGAACGCAAGAGACATTCACGAGAAGATTCTTCGACAAGCGACACAGGTTTTGACTCTGGGGCTACAGTGGATGACAATGACATGGCCACACCGGTACTGTCACCACAACTATCAGCATCTGCAGCTGTGGACTTACAGACGAATGACCCAGTTCCGATGAATCCAGAATCTGTTGCAAATGCAGAGGACAGCCAGTCAGAAAGCAATTGCAGTGCCCACAGCAAGAATAGTGTCAAGAAACGTAAGTATACCCCATGTAAACTGCACGCAGTTTAAAAATTACACAGGTTTTTGGTGGTTTGTGGAATGAACAAAAAGAAAACTGAATTGTAAGATCAGGGTGAGTTAATATGTTGCATGTGGATCAGTGAAAAAGGCTGGCTGACTGACTTGCCGAGTTTCTTGCCTTTAAAGGGAAGTGAGAAAGACAATTACACTTGGCACTATCATCGCTCAAACCCCAATCATCAAATTTCTTGGTGTTACCAATGACCAGAAACTGACCTGGACTAACCATATAAATACTGTGGTTTAGAAAAACAAATCATAAGACCGTTAGACTCACAGCCCTCTGTAAGAAGACATTCCTCCTCATCTCCCTCTTAAATTTGCACCACTTTGTTCTGATGAATGCCCTCTGGTCCTAGACTGTCCCATGAGGGAAGCATCCTCTCAGATTTACCCCATGAAGTCTAATCTTATATGTTTCAATGAGATCACCTCTCATTCTCTTAAACTCCAGTGAGTAGAGTCAATGTCTAGGAATTCTGCAATGTGTAATTCACCACCTTACTCCCAAAGCCTGCCTACCATTTACAAGGCACAAGTCGGCAGTGCAGTGAAATTCATCCTATTTGCCTACATGAGTGCAGCTCCAACAGCACTCAAGAGGAATGATACCATTCAGGAAAAGTCAGCCCACTTGATTGGCATCTCATCCACCATCTTTAACATTCTCTCCCTCCACCACAGAGTGAGAGTAGTGTGCACCAGCTCCAAGATGCATAGCAGTCACAGACCAAGACTTCTCTGACAGCACAACACCTTCCAAATCCACAACCTTTACCATCCAGAAGGACAGGGACAACAGATACCTGTGAACCCCACCACCTGTAACATCCCCTCCAAATCACTCACTATCCTGACATGGAAATGTATCCCTATTCCTTCAGTGATGCTGGGTGAAACTCCTGAAATTCCTTCCTGAAGGGCATTGTGGGTCTACCTGCAGTAAATGGACTGCAGCAGTTCAAGAAGTGACCTCACCACCCCCTTCATGGGGCAGTTTGGGATGGGTAATGAAGCGCTCCTCATATCCATGAATCATTTTTAAAAAGGATGTTAGTTACTGGGTCTGATTTTAAAATTGGGACGTTTATTCTCAATTTATGCAAGTGAAAGAAGACAAATTATATATTTTGTACCCCTACCTTTTTAAATATATATTTCATTACAACTATTGGGATGCCTACATGACATTCAAAAGACCAAGCATGTCATTCAGCTCGAACGTTGAGTGAATGATTTATCTCAATCTTCTCCCGTTGTCGCCAGCATCACAGATGTTAATCTTCACCTGATTTGATTCACTCCATGTGACAGTGAGAAATGGCTAAAGTTACTGGATAGTACAAAGGCTAATGGGACCTGACAATATTCCAGCAATTGTACTGAAGACGTATCGAAGAACTATCCATGCCCTAAGCCAAACTGTTCCAGAACAGATATAATACTGACATCCACCCATTAATGTGGAATTCCTGTCCACAAAAAGCAGGATAGATCTATACTGTTCTATTACTGCTCCATCAGTCGTCTCTGATCATCAGAAAGTGTTTTGTATCCTGCTTCAGCCAGAGGTTCTGAGTGAATGATCCACATCAACCTCCTCCTGAGCTCCACAGTATCTCAGATGTCGGTTTTTGGCCAATTTGATTCATTCCACATGATATCAAGTAATGGCTGAAGGACTGGTTGCCATAAAGGCCATGAGCCCTCACAATATTCTGGCAATAGTATTGAAGATGTGCTCCAGAGTGAGCCAAGTCCCTAGCCAGGTTGTTCTGGTACAACTACAATGCTGTCATTCACCAAACAATGTAGCCCTGTACCTCCTGTGCGTAAAAAGCAGGACAGATTGAACCAGCCCTATCAGTCTACTTTGTTCATCAGCAAAATAATGGAAGAGGGCATCAATAGTGCTATCAAGCCACATTGCTTAGCAATAACCTGCTAACTGATGCTCAGGGCAACTCTGGCCCAGTAGGTGCCTGACCTCATTACAGCCTTGGCTCCAACATGAGCAAAAATGATGAATTCCAGACATGAGGTCATAGTGACTGCCCTTGATGTCAACACAACTTTGAACTGAATGTGGTATCAAGGACCCCTGTTAAAACTGGAGAGAATGGGAATCCGGGGCAAAAATATCTGCTAGCTGGAGTCATAGCTGATGATTGTGGTTATTGGAGTCAGTCATCTCAGCTCCAGGACTTCTCTGTAGTAGTTCGTCAGGGTAGTGTCCCAGGCCTAAGCTGCTTCATCAGTTAGTACACCAATCCCCGTGTATATGTATACTGTATGTATAAAATACACAAACACTCACACACACACATTCTGTCTAAATAACTCTTTATTAAAACACACGTCCATATTTTAGGTATTTAATATATAATTTGCTGATTATATAACAACCAAAGTAATCTTTATTTATGGTTTTTTGTAATGTTATACTGCATGTTATGTCCTCTGTTGTATTGCAATATAATGAATTGTATAATATCATAAATTTCTATTTTCTCCTAGACCAACCTTTAGAACGCACTCCTTTGAGGAGCAGATCCTTTAAAAAGCTGCATCATGCTTTCAGCTATCTCCGTAAAGCCAATGTTCCAAATCCAGTTAACAGTGATCCTGGAGAGGATATGCAGACTGCTGCACTTCCTGAAGAAGGTAAAAAAGTCTTTTGACTTGATTCCTACATGCCAGTGATAGCGTGCAGAAAGGCAGAGGTGCATGTTAAGTCGTCTTGCAAAACAACTTAAAATTAATAGATAAGGATGAGCTGTAAGGCACAAATGGAAACTAAGCAGTAAAATGAAAACAAAAACTTGTATTTCAAGAAGTATTAAAAAGTTACAAAATACTTACAGCGCAGAGACAAGCCTGTAGACATAACAGCTAGATGCCAGTGTTTATAACCTACACGGACTTGTCCCTTCTTCATCAACTACAACAACATATCTTCCTCCACCTTTCTTGCTCACGAACCCCTCCAGCTTCCCCTTAAGTGCATCTTTCTATTTCTCTCTGTTAGTCTTCATGGTAATGAGTTCTACAATCTAACCATTCTGAGTAAAAACATTTCTTCTGAATGTTGTGTTATGTCTCACAGTCCGTATATCTTTAAGAGACATGCTTGTCATTATCAACGCTGTATCATAGTAAGTGACCTGAGAGTATAAAGGTCTCAGATCCCTTTTAATTCAGGGTATTTGGAGCATGATGCTCTGCTGACAGCACACTGCTATCTTTAACCCAATACCTTAAAGCTGGCCCAGACACTAAGGGCTGAATTTTCCCCTTTTTTTTAACCAAAGAGTTCTTTCAGTGAGATTCATGAGTTGCGGTCTGTCATGGCTGGTGTCACACATTATTTTTCTCCTGCAATCTTACAGTTGCCTTCTAGTTAATTAGGCATGCAGCCTGTTTGGCACCTGTCTAGTGAGATTGTAGAGCGGGGAAGTTGAATATTCGGGCTCTTTGCCATGTTCAAATCTCTAGCCCATATTTAAACCCAGCTGTGTGCAACCACAGACACCTCCCCCCAATCTCCCCCCACCCCACACCACCTGCCTCCCCTCCGCCCCTCCTTCATGCCCTCTTCTGTGTTGTCCCTCCCCAAATGACCTTTCAGCCTCATCCCATTTCCATTCAACCCCTTTAGATATTTGGGAACATCCCCAATGCGTCGCCTGGCCCAAGGTTTGTAAACTACAAAGTCCTTGCTTCCCATGCATCATCTCATGCAAGGGCCAGATTCATAGTGACTTGTCAAACACGACCAACCCCTCCCTTCCCCTCCGTTGCCCCACACCCTGCACTCCCTGTCACCTCCTATGTTGTACCTTAAGGCTCAAACCTCCATCTTCAATTGCCCCTATTCCCTGCAGTCATTTCCTCGGTGGCTCAGTCCATTTAACCCCATGCCTGGACGTGAGGTTCGTACTTTCCCAAGGACTCCACCTAAAGCTTCCTGACGAGCCCCAACCATGAATACCCTAGCTCCCAGGACTGACGTGACCCGACATCAGACTGACTTGGCAGAGCAGCCCCAAAGGAAAACATCCCAGCTCCCAGACCAATGTCTCCAAATCATCCCAACTGACCAATCTGTGATCCCCAAACTGCTTATACTTGACCGTGGCTGATCTTCAGGACTGCAAGAAGGCTCATCGAAATGGGTGCCCGAATGACTGACTGACTGTGGCTAACCCTGTGGACTGGAATCGGATGAACCGTTAACTGACTGCAGTGACATCCCCTGATTGACTGTAGGCCCCTTGACCTGGCTAAGGATTGCTCCCCTTCGACTTTCTCGCACAGTCATTTGGTTGAATCCCATGCATCGTGCGTGCTACATAAGCCACTGGCACATGCTGTAGATGTGTGTTTGATGTAGTATGGAGCCATGCAGTAACATGTCTTTCTCCTTGACTGTTAGTGGTTCAATCAGTGACAAGCTGCTTGTCGCTTCCTCTGTGCTTAAAAGCAATACAAGCAGCCTTCAAATGAGCATAAAGTGAGTGAGCACTAAGAAATGAAGCTGAGAGCTTTAAATTGTAGATACATGAGATGTGTGTGTGTGTGCATGCATGTGTGGGTGTGTGTCCCTGCACATAAAGTGACCTGGCATTAACATGCAAGTCATTGGTGACTCCGAACTCCTGAAGGACTGATGTGGACTTGGAATTGGGCTAAAAGGAGCTATGATTATGTGGTGAGGCTGATGGTTTGTCAGTGTCGGCTCACATTGATGCAGGTGGAGGTGGATGGTGACCAGGGAGATTGTAATGAAGGCTGAGCTGATTGAAGATCAACTCTGTTGGAAAACCCTCTGTTGGGAATTGGCTCCCTCTGATCTCTGAGGGATAGAGAGGAGAATTAGGAACTGTATAAAAATAGATGAGCTGCTAAAGAAATGCATAATGTATGGAAATAGGGTAGTCTACCACTCATTAACAAGATTCCGAACCATTTAAAACTTGAGGGAAAAATTGTAAATGTTTTCTTAATCGCTTTCACTTTTGCCAAGTTTTCCCAACAACCTCACCGTGAGAATTTGTGGGAGTGGAAATTCTTGTCATGCGTGACTGTGAATCTAATGTTTATATAAAGCAATGAGCTCGAATAAATGTTCGGTTGGATTCTTCAATACCACATTTCCTGTGTCTAGCTTCTTATGTTATCAAAGATAATTCGAGCATTGCCACATCAGGTAAAGATGGCAAACCATGTGAATTCCCAGTTTGATATATCAGTGACTCCTTTATGTTTTATAGCCTGTTATACTACACTGTAACCAAAGCTCAATTACCTTCAGTTGGTCCATCACTGGTCTTCCCTCCGTTACTGAGGCAGAATGGAGATGTTTATTGGACAGTGTCCACTGCCATTCAGCTACTGAGGTAATGAAGAGATCTGTGCCTGCATGCAGTAGGATCCAGACTTGGGTCAATATGTAGCAGATAGCATTGTGTCACTCCAGTGTTAACAGGTGTCCATCTCCAACTGGGGAGAATTTAACCACTTCCACTTGACAGTCAATGACATTTGCTGATATACCCACTGTAAACGTTCTGGGATCCATCATTGACGAGAAAGCTAAGTGGACCAGTCTGACACAAACTGTGACTACAAGATTTGCTCAGAAGTTGGGAACTCTGAGTTGAAAAACACCTGTCCTGACTCCCCCAAAGCCTGTCCACCATCTACAAGGCACAAGTCAGGAGTGTGATGGAATATTGTCCATGTGGCTAGAAGAGCACAGCTTGGTGTGACATACTCCCAAGACAAAGCAGCATGCTTATTTTACACCCTATCAACCAAATTAAGTGTTCACTCCATTCCCACTGGATATTGGCTGAAGTGTGTACCATTCACATGATACACTGCAACAACTCATCACAGCTCCTTCAATAGCCACTTTCAAAGTTTTAACTTTAACTCCTAGAAGAACAAGGGCAGCAGATCTGTGGGGAACCCACTATCTGCAAATTGGCCTTCAAGTCACACACTTACTTGCTTCTTGAAAAAATATTGCCATTCTTTTCATCATGTTTGCATTGAAATCCTGAAACTTCCAACCTAACTACATTTTGGTGTACCTACTTTGCATGGATTGATATTGTTCAAGAAGACAGCTCACCATTATCTTCTTCAGAGCAAACAGGAATTGGTAATACATGCTGACCTAGTCAGTGATTCCCATTTCTCAGGAGCAAACAAAATAAACCATATATAGTTTGGATCTCACCCGCAATTGGGAAATTCTCTTTTTTTTATTCACCTTTTACAACACTCATCAATATTTCATATTCTTGAAAACTTCTATCTGTTCTTCTCTAAAGAAAAGTGTCTTAATTTGTTCTGTCTTCCCTATCAATGCACCCTTTTCACTACAGTATGATTCTATAATTGTTCCTGCACCTTCTCCAAATCTTTATTTAGCTATTTAAACATAGAGACCAGTGCTGTTGACAGTACTCCAACTGTTGTAGAATCAGCTTTTTAATAACTTTTCTGTTTTCAATTCTATTCTTTAGTATTCAACCCTCATGCTTTTTAAATGGTCTTGATATACCTCACTCCTTTTAACCATTTCTGTGTTCCTATCCACTGTGTGTTTCTCCACCACATTTAGACCCTTATTTTCCAAGCAATGTGTATGCATTCTTCCCACCTCTCACTTGTTTGGTTTGAAGGTCATTTGCCATCTTGCAAGTAACTCCCATCCCCAAACACCACCAACCCACCCCCCCCCCCACCCCAACCCCCTCCCCCCAACACCCCACCTCTTCTTTGGTACCTTTCACAAATTTAGAAATCTTGACTCATGTAAACATTGAGCAACTGTGCTTGTTTCACTGTTGTGGAACACAACTGACCTACGTTCATAACCTCATGCTGTCACAGACCACATTACAACTAATTAGATACTTGAGAGGTCTAGACACTATCACATAAAACATTTGAGAGCCTCTTTGCCCATAGTCAGCTTCCATAAACAGTGATGAGTTTCAGTGATAACAAGGTGTAG